CAACATCTCCCTGAATCTCTCCAGGGGTTTTAATCCCCTTGATCCTGGGTTCTCGCTGTTTCCGAGGGTGGCTGCCCTTACTTATGCGGATCTTTCTCTTCCACCTTCTGGTCTCCTTTACCCCTGAATCAGACTTGGTTGAATCCTTCTAGTTCAGAAAGAGGGAGCCAGGTGGCTTTTCTAGGTGGCTGCTGTGCACTTTTTCTGCTCTTTGCCCACTGGTCTCTCCCCTGACTGTAAAGGCTGCAGGAGCTCTGGGGCAGTGGGGTGCCGCTGTAGGCTGACCAGTCCCTAAATGCTGGGCTGAGGGGGCGTGGTGGACATGGAGACTCCTTGGCAAGAGAGACTTACTGCCCAGCTGCGGAGAGTGTGGTCAGCAGGCAGCCCCCAGCTGCCAGCTCCTTCAGGGTCAGCCTGCAGAGAGCCACCACGCCACAGTCACGCCCTCCTGGACACCTGGTGACTGATCAGGTGAAAGTAAAAAACTCTGGTCATTTCAGCCTGACCAAGGCTTTGGCGGGCTGGTGTCACCATCCGACTTCTTCCTCCAACCAGTCCTGCTTCCTCTCCTGTCCTTTCTCAGTGTTGAACCCCAACAGCTACTCTGCACCCCAAAATCCATCTCAGCATCTGCTTCTGGGGAACCCCACCCGGGACAGCTGTTCCCTGGAGGGGTCTGAGAAAGCTGGTGGTAAGATGGGGCTTGGTGCTGGGTTAGGACCACCCCCGCGGCAGTGAGGACCCAGGCGAGGACCCGGGCACTGGTGGGCAGTGGAGCTGAGAGCCCAGGGAGGCCGTCCAGCCATGAAAGCTTTGCTGGGGGGGAATCCGGATGACATGCTGGGGGGAGGGACGGGAATGCGCTGGTGGGGGCTCATGTGTCAGGCAGTTGAAATTTGGAGCAAATAGGCCATCAGGACTGGATGGCTAATGCCAAGTCTATTCGTGCTCAACAGGAAGATAATAAACATCTGAGGGCCAGGGTGAAGGCCAGGCGGGGCCTCTGGTCACTTACAGAGAAGTTCTCATCCCCTGCAGGGAGGCCAGAGGAAGCCCAGGCCTTAATCCTCAGAGTGGTTGAACCTAGAGGACAGACAGTCGCCAGCCAAGGCTGGCCTGTCGAGCCAGGGTCAGAGGCCTGGTTGGGAAGAGTGGGGCTGCACGCTTCGGGTGGAGATGCCCCGAGGCTTCAACCCTGACTTTTCTGAACCTTCTAAGCCTGCAGACATGGCCCCCACCAGCCCCAACCCCAGGAGACGATGCAGAGGCTCAGCCGCCTCCTCTGACAACATGTGACCCCCTCAGGAACCCCTCCCCTCCTGGCCACGAGGCCTTTGCCAGGGGGAGTCCAGCAGAACCTGGCCAACCCAGTCTGTGCCTGGAGGAAACGGACCCTGCCATGAGGAGCTGCAGGACCCCACAAGCAGGTTTCAGGGAGCCAAGGCCAGACTGTGGGAGTGGATGCTGGGGTGCCTTACCAGCGGCTACGACGTCCAGCAGAGAGGGAGGTTTCTAGACTCGGGAGCTCCCTCTCAAGATGCCAGACTAAACCCTTCACAAAGACCCTTAGAAGTTGGCAGTAATTCGCCATTGGACAAGAGGCGGAGAGGCCACTGTTGCCATGGCAGACAGCGGAGGATGGGACGGGAGGCTCAGGGAGGCAGGGAGGCTGGACCAGACAGGAAGCCCACACACACCCACGAGACCAGTGATGCCAAGGGCCGCCAGTTCTGGGTGGAGTCCACACGACCCACTGGCAGACCTTGAGATGTAGGAGCCTTTGGTGGTGGGGAAGACACCCTGTGGCGTTTGTGGCCCCAGCGGGAGAATCACACGCAGGCTGTGACTGGAGAAGGCCACAACGGCAGCAGCAGAGAACTGAGTGTCTTTGGAGAAACAGCTGCTGGTAGGTCACCAGGTCCTGGCAGAGACACACCTGTGTGAGTAACCCTGGCCTGAGAAGGATATAGTTTTCCAGGACCCATGGGGGGACGGTCAGGGACACTTCCTAGAGCTTCTGGAAGGAAAGTGGGCCCCAGGCTTCCAGTTGTGGACAGGAGGGAGAAGGAGGGGGCCGGGGCCCCTGCTGGGAGCTGGGACCCTCTCCCCTCCCCCTCAGGCCAGTCTGTTCACGGGCTCCTCCGTGAGACAGGCCTGGGAGGTGCCAGTACCCAGAGGAGGGAAGTGGCCACCTTTCCCCCGGAGTCCAGTCCAGGGCCTGGGTGACGGGCCAGACCAGCAGAGGCAGGCGACCAGCTCAGCCACAGGTGGGGCCATGTCCCCGCAGCCCAGAGCGGGTTGGGGGAGGCCACCCTGCCCCAGGCTGCAGATGGAAGGGGAGTCACCCACCCCTACGCCCAAGGCTGTCCCTGGCCAGGGTGAGCCTGGTCTCTGCCCAGGCCCAGTTTGTCCAGTGCTGGGACCGCCCAGGCTGGGGTCCTAGGCTCTGGCTGCAGCCAGGAAACCCACGTCTCCAGACCAGCCCGAGGCTCAGTGGGGAGGACTGACCACTTGAGTTGGCCCTTTGGCTGCCCCTCACACTGTCCAAAAACTGTTGCTGTCACAACCAGCGTGGTGACAATGACTGTCCATTCCGTCACACCACCTCATGGGCACTGATGTGGCTGCCACTCCAGGGTGGGAGTTCCAGTCCCTGTTCACCCTGGATGAGGACAGGGCCAGGGCGCTGTGGCCCTCACTCACTCCCAGACCTGCAAACCTGGGGTCTCCAGGGGTGGGGACGTGGTTTACTCCAGGAGGGTGGGACCTCTCCTGTCACCTGTTTCCATGGACACAAGGGACGCCAGGCCTGCTGTCAGCCAACTCAGGATCTTGGGCTTCGCTCCTGGCTGTGGGGTCCGAGGAGGAGGCAGAGGGACTCAGGACCTTGGACAGTGGGGCTGAGAGGAGGCTGTGGGGAGGGGCCAACGGAGGTGTGGCGTCATCGGGTGAGAGCAGCGCGCCCTGCCTCTGTTGTTTGAGCTGAGAGGTGATGGGAAGGCGGCTCCTCTGCCCCACGTGCACGTCTGCGTGGTGAGAAGGAGCCCCAGCCACACGGAGAAGCATCTCTGCAGATGTACAGATGAGGGAACGAGAGGAGGGGACGGTGTCCTTCTCTCCCAGGGTGACGTGTTCACAGAGGCTGCCCCCTCCCTCCCTGGCAGCTGAACCACTAACACAGCCCAGCCTGCCCAGCTGAGGCCCACAGCAGAAGGAACCTGACCCCTACCCGTAAAGGCTGGTCGCTCAGGGAGAGTCGGCTCTCAGAGAAGCTCAGCCTGCACACCTGAGACCGAATTCTCTCAATTCCTCTCCAAAGCCTCAGCCTCCGTCACGTCAGTGGCTGGTTTAAGCTGCTGAATTTTATGTGCTTCCCCGAGAACCAGGGGCGGCCTCCCACGGCGGGTGATTAATCTCGAATTTACCAGGTGGGGGGCGCCATCCCTCGCCCGGCCAGCCAGGAGCTTCTGACAGCTGTTGGTGCTCCCCCTCCTCCCCGGCTCTGGTGGGGGGGGACACAGCCTCCATATTTGGGGCCATGGCCCCCTCCCTGCTCCCCTGCAGCCTGGCCGAGGCTGGAGGAAACCAGCTGGCCCTGGGCCTCTGGCTTTGCTGTCTGGGCCCCGGCACCTGCTCTCCCTTCTGGAAAGCAACGCAGCAGCACCACCTCTCCCCGTGATGTGAGGAGCAGCATTAATGCAGCCTACTGCCCCACCGGGTCACCCGCCCCCTTCCCTCTGCTGCAGCCCGCAGCCCACGCGTGGAACCCCTGGTGTCCCCAAGGCAAGGACGTTATCTGGGTGGTGGGTTCAGACGCAGCTGATGACTCCAGTGGCTTGGGGTGGACGGTGGCTGTGCCCATGCATCCTGACCCGGGCATGACGGCAGAGTCAGGGTCACGCCTAGGCTCTGCCAGTCTTGTGCAAACCTCAGATTCAAACCATGTGCCTTAGGATCCTTCTCTCAGCTGCTCTACAGGCAAGCAGAGGGCCGGGGGCAGAGGGGGGTCGGCCAAGGAGGAGGCCCGGGTCCAGGTCCTGCCCACAACGGCTCCTCACTGCTCTAACTGCACGAGCTCTTCTCTACACAAGTCGAGTTAGCTGGGTAAACGGCTGAAACAGCTCGCTTTTTAAAAACTTTTTTCAGATAACTATACCTTCACATGAAGTGTCAAACATAGCAGGGAGAGGTCCTGGGGACCCTTCACAGTTTCCTGCAGTTTTCACCTCACTGGTCACAGGACCCGGCAGACCAGGAGAGGCTGATGCTGCTCTAAGTCGCTAACCACAGGTGTGGATTCCTGCGCCTGCTCTGCTCTCAAGAGGCAGGTGTCCCATCACCACAGAGACCTCCCTCATGCTACATTTATGGTCACCCCATCTCTGACCCCAGACTCCCTCTAATGAAACAACTGAGTTTTGAAAGATTGCCAAACTCCTGATCTTCCACAGGAGGTGGGGGATTTCCAATAAACACAACGTGTTGTGATTGACCGCCTGGGAGTGCGGTTTCTGACGAGCACGTGTGTGCTGGGAACAGCACCAGGTGTTCACAGCTCTGGTCCATCCGAGGGCTGGAGCCCAGTGGGGGCGCTTTGGGACCAAGAGCCCACACGGGCGAACCCGCTCTGGGCTGCCCAGGAATTCCCTCGTGCTCCCGTCCAGCTCTTCTCCAGGGTCTCAGGGGGGCCTGAGACAGCCTAGCGGGTCAGGCACCCTGGGGGTAGGCCCAGAACCTGCCTCTTGACCCAGCTCCACCGGGGTGGCCCCGGCGCTCTCAGTCCGAAAGCCTGGGGACTAGCCCTCCTGCACCTGCATCCTCCAGATGCCACCATTTCCCTGGGAACAGGCTGTGCAGGGAGGGACGCCTGAGGGCATTGCTGGGACTACCCGAGGAGGGCAAGGGGCAGGAGAGCGGGAGGGGCTTCCCGGAGCCGGTTCAGACAAGCGAGGCGCTGAGCAGGGGGCGCGCACACTGGGGAGCCCTCCGGACACCCAGAAATGCTGCAGCCAGGACCGCAGGAGGCAGCGGGCTCCCCCCAGGGGCAGTGGGCAGCCTGGCCTGGAAAGCCGCAGGGAGGGGCCGAGCTTGAGGTCCGGCAGGGCAAGAGCCAGGCCGACCTCGCCGTGCGGGGCCGCAATGCGCCCCGCATCTGCGGAGGGAAAACGCGCGCACAGCAGAGCGCGGCGACGCCTCGGGCACCCCGAAGGCTCGGGGGCGGGACGAGGAGCCCGAGAGCCGCTGCCTCCCACCCCGCGCGGGCGGCGCGGACAGTCCAGCGGGCCGCCCGCCCCGCGGGTCCAGGAACAGGGGCCCCCTGCCTGCATGGCGGGGAGGCCGGCCGGTCCTCACCGACCGCCGCCCGTCGGGGAAGTCGCGGCCGGGGGCGCAGCGGGGCCACCACGGGGAGCCGGGAGCCGGGACGCAGCAGAATCCAGCCCCACCTTCTCGCCACGGCCACTGCCGCGGCTGGAGACGGCCGGCGCAGGCGCAGAAAAGCTGTGAGCGCGGGACGCAGGCGCACTAGACCCAGTCGGCGCTCCGTTCCTGCCCATGCGTGCTGCGCTCGCGGAGGCTGATTGTTGACGCGCTGCGTTGGCGCCCAGCGAGAGTCGAACTCGCGGAGCCTTAGGTCCCTTCCGGAGTGCGGCCTCCCGACGCCGCCAGAGCCGGTCGCCTTCGTGTGTCCGCCACCGGCGCCGCCTCGGGACTTCATCTCGGTCACGCTGAGCCCCGGGAAGGGCTTCGTCGGCAGCAGGAGCTGGCGCGGCCCTCGTGCTGGAGGGTGAGGGCCGGGCCGGCGGGTCTCCGCGCTGAGCGGCCCCCGGGCGTGTCCTGGGCGAGGGGGAGAGCGGCCCCTGGCTCGCGCAGGGCCCCGTGCGCGGCCCGACCTCATCGTGTCGCGGCCGGCCTGGGGCGTGCCCCGGCCTCGGACGGGCGTCGAGCAAGCGAGGGACGACGAGGCCATCAGCCGTGTCCGAGCACGGAGCACAGGGTCTCTGCCGCCCGCCGGGGACCCGGTCGTAGCGTTGCGCTGCCTCTGCGGGCGTCTAGTCTGGAGCACATCCCCCGATCGCTCTCCCGGAGCTCGGGTGCGGCGCTGTCCCCGTGACACTGCCGGGGCGGCCTGCGGAGCCCGGGCGCTAATAAACGCGCTTGCCCACCAGGCGCGTCTGCGGGGGTCTGGCTGCAGGGCGTTGAGTGGACTGGAGGTTCACAGCCTCAGACTGAGACCCTCGACTCAGCAGCGGTGACTCCAGCTGAGACGCCCGTGTCTCTCTGCCTGAGGCACCGCCTGCCGTCGGCCGGGAAGCAGGTTTGCGCTGACCTGAGCTCTGCTGTTTCCCTGACGCCCTCAGCACTGTGTGCGTGTGTGTGAGT